TCTCTCCTGGAGAACGTCTTCGTGAGCCTCTCATGATTTCAGGATAGTTGAAACCCTCTTGAACATTCAGAAAGAGTGAATATGAAATTCTAATCACGAAAGGTGTTCTGTGAAGCACGTGAATTCTCTCCTGGGGAGCGTCTTCGTGAGCCTCTTATGGTTTCAGGATAGTTCAAATCCTATGATGTTCCGATTCAATGCTCACCGATGATCTGAGCCATGGGGCAAGTTTGTCTTCCTAAGAATCTTTTTGAACATTTCGAGAGCACATGTTTGAACATTTAAAGTGCATATGAACATATATGTACGAAAGGTCGCCTCCGAGGGGATAAATCGCCATGTCGAACATTGCATTTTTGTTCCTGCCTCTCGCGTTCTCTTCTCTTCCCGCTGTCCTACCTTTCGTGTCTCCCTCCTCTCAAGTTCTTAACATTGTCATATTGTGGCCGTCTTAGGAGTTCTTGAAGGGGATGGCTCAAGTACAAGGAGAGACGTTTTTTTTTTTTTCAGCCTTCAGTGGACCGGTGATGGATGGACAGATGAAGGGATGGATTGATGGGGTGTTGTTCTAGTAACTAGTAGATCCGCAATCGAAGTCCGCACCTGTTTCTTCCTGTGCTTCCGGTCCGGTCTGGGTCGTTGCCTACAGCTTGAGGGCCCTCACACATAGCTACGGTCCGCGGTCGTGAGACATGCATGACATACAACAGTTGAGACATCGACATTGACAATTAGACAGGCAAAAGTACTTATTTTTGCAACCCGCCTTCAAACAATGCGATCTTCCTGGCACTCGCGAATCCCCAGGCTCCATGTTGTGTTCGGGTCATCTGCCGCATGGCGTCGGCATCATGATTGTAGGGCCCTGTTTGTTACCTGATTGTTGGCAGAAAGGTTCTTCTTTCGATGATGGGGATCAGGGCTTGCCGAGCTCATTGCAATTGATGACCATGGGAATTTCACCGCCATGAAAGCTCCAATCTCTGCTATTTGACTTTTCTTCTTTTTCATGCCAAGAATTCCGACCGCACGTTCTAAGCATTCAGAACATGATGCCACTGTTTGATCTCTTCTTTGATCACATGATGCCGCCGCTGGTCTTCAGGGTCAGTTGCAGGTATTCCGTTCCTCGAACTCGAGTGGCTTCACATGTGGACGGAAACACGCGATGTCCTTTCGCATCTTGATTGTTTCAACCTACTTTTGCTGGTTATCCTTTGGCAGGACTTCAAAGAGTCTCCGCCAGCATTTCTCTTCCACCCCCACGGTGTTCATACTTGTAGTCATCAACGCATGTCTAACTTTGCACAGCCCCGGGTCGCTATGCCATGGCTCAAACCTACGGACGTTAGGGTGTCTTTCTCAACGACTTGGGCATTCGCAGGTTCAATTTTTCTTGAAACTCTTGTGGGCAATCTTGTAGATCATGTCTTTCATCACCCATTTGACATACCAACCATTGAAAACAGAGAATGTGTTGAACAAACGATGCTGTAGTCATTTGCTTTCTCATATCTGTGGCACGCTCGGCTGCCAACCTTTTCCAGTTCGAAACTGGCGCAAGTAGAAGTGTCAACGACAGCAGTATGCGAATCGGAAAGCTTCCAGCTGCATGCTCGGACTCCTCTTTCTGTATATCGAGTCACCTCCTTTGCAGCAGTGACATGTGGGTCATGCTTCAAGGAGTGTATTCAGTGTATTCTCTACGAGGCATCATGTAATTACGTAGGCAAGGTGGTCTTTTGCCGACGGTTTTGTGAGTCCATTTGCGAGCTGCTGTTGTTGAGAGTTGACCCATTTACGTGCTGCAGCTATCCGCTCATGAAGGATGCAGATCTCAATTGCTGTTCTTTGCTCTCAGTTTGAGCCGTGGAGTGACGGAAATGGCCACTGTTGAAGAGGGCGGCCTTGCACCAGTTATTACCGGTGATATCCATTCTAGATTCTAGAATGCTGTATGGCCACATGGGTGTCGATCAGTGGATTATTGTCGCAAAGAAGACCTTGGCCCACTCGAGCTCATCCACGGCAATGGTGGCGGACTGCACCTCGGGCAGCACTGAGCTCCTGCACACGTGCACCTTCGGCCGCTCTGCATTCGCAGCAAATACAGACCAATGTGAAAGATGACTCAGGTCACAGTGTCTTCTCACAGTGAAAACACAGTTCTGGACTGTTTGGCCTTCAGCGTGTCCTTCACCACGAGTTTGTTGATGACCTGCAGAAGGCTGATGTTGGCCGCAGCGGTTGGGGGGTCGCTTGTGCACCGTGAAATAGAAAAGGTGCAGCGAGACCATTTGGTGGTGCACAAGCCATTCTAAAGTGGTCTTTGGTAGAGATGTCGCTGTGCCACACGGTTTTGCGCGGCCACGGTGGAAAGTGCGTTTGTGCGAGTCCGTGCCATGATGGTGTAAATTCAGCATGTCGCTGTGTTGCACCACTACCACTGGTTACCACTACTGACCATGGCCTTACCTTTCCGTCGCGGTTCACGATAAAGATGAAGCATTGGATAGCATTGGTCATCTGTTTTTTCCATCTCTGCCTCCTGCTTGCCTATCGTTGACCCCTGAAGCATGGTGATCTCCTCTAAGACCTCTTTAATCTCTTGGGTCTCGCTCCTGTATCGCTGGAAACGTCGACCATGCTGGGCAGTGATTGATTTGTCCGAGATGTGGTGGTTGAAAATGAGCTCGGAGGTTTCGAAGGCCCGACATGGGTCTCTGATCGAATGGCGTCCTCCTCATGAATCGACCAGCACCTTTTGCCTTCACTTCTTCTTTGCCTTCACTTGTGCCTGGATAGAATCGTCGACAATGCCAGAAGATCTTGAATGCGAAAAAGTTGGAAAAACCCAGCCAAGAAGGAGGGAGCCCACTGCGAGGAGGACGATGAGCATGGCATCGAGAAGAGCTTTGGTGACAACGACTGTTACCAAGAAGAAGGCTTTGTTGAATGTGGCTTTCGCAGTGGTTCATCAACATTTGCAAATAGCTGGCTCTCCGAACTGGAGTTCTTCTGGGCCTTCTGCAGTCTATCGCCGACATGCATGATGAACTTACCTTCGATTTTGAAGAGAACGAAGTACACCACAGCCAAGTATGTCACCGTAGAAACTGTCAAGATGGATCAGCGCCAGCTCCGCTACCCAATCTGGCTGCTCAAGTAGGTCGGCACAGGTCCGCACCTGTGTCTTCCTGGATTTCGGTCTGGGTCGTCGCCTGTGCAGCTCAAATGACCACGGCAGAAAGAAGTGCATGAAATGCAATCGTTGAGACATCGGCAATCAGAGACAGATGAGGAATGATGCACCGGCCTGCTGGAACCCATGCCTTGGACAAAAGGTTCTAACAGTCGCTAGCCCAGAATGAGACCGGAAGCAGAGCCACTGATGTGTGCGGACCGGAAGCAGAGAGCATGCCACGCCGCAGCCAGGAAACGGCATGATGGATCTGGGGAGCATGTCTTTAGGAGACAGTGTGCCTGATCACGAAGTAATGACAGCAGCCGGTTGATTTTTGCAGTTGCAGACGCATCGCGGCATCACGTCAGGCAAAAAGCTTTACCGTATATACTCAGATCTTGGGTGAATTTGAGCCAGGCGATCTTTTTTTTTGCAAGGGGTGGACTTCAGGTTGGCCCCAGGCACATGCCAGCTGTACGTCTAATGTCAGGTGTGCCCGAGAAATTCATCAACGAACTCCCACGTCCACTCATGATCTTGTTGGCTCATCGGCAGTTCATCATGTGGCGGGATTCACTATTCTGGTTTCTTTGTCGTGACCTCCTGGACGATTGCATGGCCAATTGCTTTAGTTGCTCATCTTCTGCTATGCATGGCCTTTGGTGTCTAAAAGATTCATCCAACCTGCCACCGCTTGCTTGGTAGATCACTTCTAAGGACCCAAGAGGAAGACACGACGTGATATCTCAAGTGCGAGGCACTGTTGCACACTCTTCTTGTTCTCCTGGTAGTAGTGACCCAAACAAAAGATCCAAAAGGTTGCAGAGCCCCTAAACACTTTTCAGTTCAGAGACGGTTTCGTCTTCGTGTGGATTCCTTGATGAAGCAGTTGCGACACACTTGTGGCTCGTGGCTCCTGGTTGTGCGTTTGACCTGACCTGTGGACATGCCCGGTATTGCCATAGAGCGCTCGGTATTGCCATGCGCCTTTTCTATTCGATCCCCTTCCAGTACAGTAGGGAGCTTGAGAATACGGCGTGCTTCAGGGTACTGTAGAGCTGTAGGGGTTCCTTGGATCAGTCCACAAATCCAAAGATAGATCATGGCAGGTGCACAGATTGAAATACGGGTGTATAAATATATATATATATGTAATATAATACAGTTGTTTATATGTACCCAAGAACACGCATAACCACACAACCTTCGTTCTACTGCACATATGGTGGTAGTAGTGGTGGCGGCGATCATGACAACGGGAATTGTAATGTTGCTGGTGATGATGATAGGGCTTGTGGGCTTCAAGCGTTTATTGCTTTTCTTGCCCATCAATATTTTGGAGTGAGTTTGCCAAGACGTGGTGCGCACGATGGTACTGAAAAGTAGCAAATGCACCCACGCACGTGCACACTGACACACACACACACAAAGATGCCAGAAAGCCAGACTGGTGTGCCGCATTTCTTTCGCAATGCCGAAGGGCGTTCCGAAAAAGGTGACCCTGGTGCACCTCTTGCAGGTCAGGTGCACATCCTAATTGGCGGACCATTGGACGAGCCAAGCCCTTCTCGACAAATGTGTGTCACAAGGTGGTGGGGCTGACTCTGCTTGTTACAAGCTTGTGTGGATTTACTGGAGTTGCTGCTAGGAGACTGCGATTCCAAGTCCATGCTGGTTGCAACCAAGAGCCTGGAGAAGGCCTGAAGGTCTTGACTGATGTGACATTGTGACATAGTGATTTGATTCGACTTAGTGACATTTGACTTCGCGAGATGTCTAGTAATTGAATAACAACGGACGTGGTGTGCACCAATGTACGAATTGATCTACGTTGTGGTGAGAATGGTGTTTTGTTGGCCAATCCACCCAGCTGTGATTGCACACCAGTGCAATTTTGCTTCATACAGGGTATCTATGCCAGGTGTGAATAGATGGTGGTGCCAAGTGTAGTTGCAGGGGGTCCATTTGAGGGAGAACGACTGTTTAGAGCGAGGTCGGAAGTTGTGGGAGTGGGCAACGGCGGTCCTGTACGTCAGAATGGGGTCTCAAAGTGGCTAGAGTTTTCTTCTCTTCCGGAAATGGCCACCCATTCGGAGATCCAGAGGGCACGCAGTTCTGATTGAGGTGAGTGAGCGGTCGATGGATGCAGAAGCAGGAAAAAGCAGACTAGCAGATGCTGGTTTTGTGGAGTACTCACTGTGCTTTGCACCCTTCGTATCTACAGCAGATGGTGGATCAGCCTGCACTTGCGGGCAGAATGCACACAGACAGAAATATAACAAAATAGACACATACTGATACACATGCAAAAAAGAGTATGTATAAACATGTTTCAGGTCTGGCAGGCTTGGGTGAACATGCATTCATTACTGCCATAGGTTTGAACTAACGAATGTTTTGGCTCAAGTGCCTTGGCCAAAATAGCGTTTGTTCTCTCTTTTTGGGGCGGGACCCTAGAAAGACTAGCTTGGTAGGGAGGAACTCTACACTTGTGGTGGGTCTATCAGGGCGAGACCCTGAACGCCATGGGCGCTCGCGGAATCACCCTTGCCGCCTACACGTGTGCTCAGGTCATCCATGCGGCGGCTTGGTTCGAATGCAAGAACCACCTCGAGGAGCTTGTCCGCGCTGGGAGGGACCTATGCATGGCGGTTGTGGGCTGCGGCAGGCGAAAGTGTTCACCTCGGATACCCGGGGCACCTGTTGTCCATCCGGATGCGGCCGCACCGTGCCGACCCAAGAGGGACTTGGGCGGCGCAAGCGCTACTCCTGGCGACGACCCTGCAAGGCTTACCAAGTCAGTGGCAGAGGTGCGCTGTCCCTACATGCTGGTGCGCTGATGACATGCTGACTCTGCAACCCTGCCACGTCGTGATTGGTTGCGTGTCGCGCTTTATTACCTTACCACTGTGATGGCAACGTTGCTTCATGAGGGTGTCAGGGAGCGAGCTCAGACTATGTGGGCGATTGGCATGCATGAATGAACAGTAGTCATGACCATGAAGGAGGTTCCGCCGGGCTGTCTCTACCTGTCCATGATGTTTATGCAACTGCACTCGTGTTTCAAGACCTTACTGGGTACGGGCACCTGTGGAGCTGTTCCTCAATGCGCACAGCTGGCCGCGCAGTGTCACGCCAGAAGCTGGTTCTTGATTTGGGTATCAAGCCGAACGCATAGCTTGGTCAGGTCTGGGCGGGTGCCCTGCGGTCTCATCCATGTCGAGCTGTTGCCTCCCGAAGGTCTCATGGAGCGCGCGTGTCTTTTTCGAATGACTTGGCACTGTCGATCCGTTGGTGGAGTCCGACGAAGTGAGCGTCCAATACCGAGTTGGTTTGCACTGTTGGTTTGCACTGTTGGTTGATGAGGGGTCTCATGGCGTGTGAAGGTCGACTTGGTTAGCGCTGAACACTTGGCGGGATCCCATGGAGCCAACATCTGTCCATCTACTCGACGTGCTTGGAGTTCTTGCATCTCCTTGCACCATGCGCAATCTCCTGGAGAATTTCCGAAATTCAGTGAACTTTCACATTTTGTAGTCGCTCATTTCCAGTGCCACTGGCTTGGCGAATTGCTTCACGAGGGGTTTCGTGGAGCGTGCGTCATCGTTCCAGCTCGGCTTGGCCGGAGCTGTTGCTTCAGGAGGGGGTCTCCTGGAGCGTGCGTCGCGTAATTCATTCCACACTGGTTGCACTGTTGCTTCATGAGGGGTCTCAGGGAGTGGTATATTCAACTTGATTAGCTCGGCTGCTTCATGAGAGGGACTCGTGGAGCGAACATCAGTCAAGTTCGACCTCTTTGCGCTGTTGCCTCATGAGGAGGCTCATGGAGCGTGCGCCCTGTAATTCAACACGGTTTTGTTGGCGCTGTTGCTTCGTGAGGGGTCTCATGAAGTTTATATTGGACTGGATTAGCTCGGTTGTT